GAGTACTGTACTCAGCTCAGATTACGGTGGCGCTGCGGTCAAGGGTGGCCGGTGCGGGTTTGTCTTTTGGCTGAGAAGCGTAATCGACTCCGTTGGCGCCGATCACAATGAGATTAATGGTCTGAAAAGCGACTGAACCGAGGCCACCCGTCCATGGCAAACAGCACAACAAAGGAGCCGGGCAACGAAGTGACCAACGGCAGGTCGACCGCGGTATTCGGTAAGCGGCACTGAGGCGGGCGGGGCCACGCAGAGGAGGGGCAATTTTCGGCAGCGATCTGCTTTCACGTGTAATGAGGCGAAGCAAAGCGCGTTGCCGGTCCCGCTGACCGATAATCATCACGAAAGGTCGGGTCGATGGAGGTGGCGACCATTCGGCGCACCAGTTGTTGACCAGTCGCCTGAGAACCACAGACTATGACGCTTCATAGGGCATCAAATGGTCCGAGCGACAGCTCGGAGCCGGTACAAAGTTCCACGATGTGTAAGTCATTATCCGGAGCCAGCAGCCGTGATGCAATGTCATTTATGATGACTGAATGGTCACCTTTTGAACCAATATCTTCAATAAATGCTACAAATTATTTTCTGGCTCTCTGTGCCTGCGAATATTGGTTTCATACTTAGGAGTGACACCGCTCGGATTTCTTGCGCCAGAGCTGTCTGTCTGGTGAGGACTCAGTATGATTTAAAAAGTATTGTGTTTTCCCTTGGCACCGCTTGATAAACTGCCTTATAGAGAGGCTATTTTTCAACCTCCTCCCTTACTTATATGCTCGCTGAAATGAATCCTATATTCAATTAATTGAACTATTAATTCCTTTGCCCCTGAAATCAAAATCATTTTAGTATTCTACTAACCCAGAATTACTGATTAAGACTTCAAGCCTTAACTAACTTTGACCTATGACAAACTCTGAGATTTTTAGTGGTGTATAACTTTTGGCTGAATCATTAACCATATTAGCCCCTCACTAATTCTTGACAGCGTATATGCTATGAAAGCTATATTTTAAAAAGCTTTTCATGAGCTCAATTGCTGGGCGACCTGCCTAACGGTAGGTATAGTCTACAGACGGCTTATATCATGGAACTTAGCCTCTTTATCCGCATCTTTATTTAGACAATGTTTTCAGTGCTTAATTCAAAACTGATATAACAAATCATCATTCGATGGAGCTCAATTTCTAGATAATTTTGTTACTCGTCATAATTTTATGAAGGAAATGTTCAGGACGAGTTAACAGCAATACAATGCCTTAAGCCTTTTTATTTAAAACCAGGTTTTGACTAATGATGACTAGTTCTTGTGGGCCATAATAATAAAGACACATAACATCAGTCGTTCTTTTGTACCTCAAACCATCGAATCACTCTGACCTCACCATAAAAAGATGCGTAGCACTAGTAAAAGATTTTTACAGCAGGTACGAATCACTGATAGCATAAAATTTCCATTTTTTCCACATGGCATGCATGATGTATAGAGCTTTTCGACTGATTGAAATCACTAGTGAGTAGTAACTTTCTGCTCAGCAGAAAATCATGTAGCATCAACTATAGAATTAAGGTTAGCAAAAGTAAACAGAAAAAGGTCCCAAAAAATTTTAGCACCAGTTTTGCTACTGAGAAACTTTTCATACTTCAGCTAGAGAACTAGAGATAGCAGGGCTCAGTTCCATAACCAATGAAACGGCTAGCAAAATTCGTTATTGAGGTTATGAAAGCAGGGAGAAATCATATATTTTTTGAAAAAATGATAACTTTCGTTAATCTTCATTTCGCCCTCTCTGGCGTTGGCATCATATTTGGATGTCAAATGGACAAAATCTCTGTGGAGTGGTGTACAAATCTGATCCGTCGCTTTTTATAAGTCCACACGATGAACATCATTTCCAGTTTTAGGTAGAGTCAGAAGTGTTGCAGCTCACTGTGAAGCGCTCCGGATGCCACATGAAGTTGTCACCAGCTACAAACGTCGTGTCATCAGCTTCATTAATGACACTGGTCCTCTGCCGCTGCCATCTTCTACCGCACATACTCACACACATTCACGTGACATGAATCAAAATTGTTGGGTATTTTCTCGTTCGCTTTGGGGAGAACGAGTCCTGAGAAATAGTTTTCACTTGTTTCCCGGCTGCAGAGCATCAATTTTTTCCCATATAAAACTGAAATGGCAGCCGATCGTCTACTTTAAGTCAGACCATAAACAGCAATTCAAACTTTGCACGAGATTCTATTAATCACATCAATTAATCGATTTGAATTATATCGAGGGGAGCCCCATGACATCTGACCACCTAAACTTTTCAAGTTGATTTATAGGAAATATTTGCCTTTTCATCACCTTTCCTCCTTAACAAAACTTCTGATGCACTGATTAGCTATCATTATACATTGTAATGATTGTAAATTGTGTAAACAGTTCATTCAACGTTCATTAAGTCAAATAATTCAAAGTTTAGGCTGGCACTGATAGCCGACGACACTCTACATCTACAGTAGATTTTCACAGTCAAAGCGATTTGATCATTGGCTTCAGTCCTGCTAGTCGTGGGACATAGTCAATGTCTTATATTTAATCATCTCTTGTCTAAAAGACACCGTATACTAGTTCGCTGTAAGTAACGATTCTTCGAAAAATTGCGGATCAGTCATTGCCGCGCTACAGTAGAACAGTGAATGATCAGAGGAGAGACTGTCCGTATGACTGTTGTTCGGGATGAACCGCAAGCTGTCCGTTGAGAGCAGCATTGAAATAAAGGATGACAGACGTTGCTGGAAAGTTGTGTTGTCGCCGTCATGATCGGCAGCGATTGATCGACGTGTCCTCGCAACGACTATTGTATCCGCCGACAGCCGTCTTCGCTGATGGGTTGCGCCCTTTCTAGCCTCCTGAACGGCGAGTGCTTGTTTTTTGCGCGACAGCACATTTATAGTAACCTCCTTTGACCCGCTTGTCTTCGCCTGTCACAGCCGCCGATCGTTGGAGAGCATAAATGGTAAAATAATTGACTTAATTGAGTTTATTGAATAATTTTCAAGTGTATCGACCCTCGTTGGGCGGGAATGGCTTTCGCTACGCATGCGGGTTTCATTCCATATGCAAAGCAATTACAGTGACGACGACGACCTCAATCTCGAGTTAGCATTCAGTGGCTATTACGCGGTCAATCCTCTGAGACTTAGCTACGACAAATTCTTCGCTCCCAAGACAGCGCCGAATTCACTTACCAGTGAGGTGACATAGAGGAAAGTAAATAATGCAGAATTTGAAAACAAACCGAATTTGTGCGTGCGGTTCATGAGTCGGATTGGATTAAACGAAGCTACTACTGGTATCGATTGATTAGTTGGCACTCAGTATGTACTGTAAATTGATCTGGCAGCTTTTATGGAAATTCTACACCTTCTTCTGACGTACAGAGCGTTGACAGCTGTGCAGCGTGGCTTAAAGGCTTAGCGCTAATTCGGACGCCTGCAAAGCGCCGTTGTTGTTGGCCACTTCCCAAACAAGTGATTTGCTCTGTGTTGCCAACGGAAATGATGCTTTTCGTTTGGCTTGCGGCGTTGAACAGCTCCTGTTTCTAAAGCTTTCTCTTACCGGCTACAATATTTTGATGGCAGCTCATTTAAAGGAACCATCATCAACCACCTCTGCCATCCTGGCGCTTGCAACGGACCATTAAAACACGTTTTCACGTCTCCCAATGCTAGGCAGGCTTGAGCACATCTGAGAAATTTTTTAATCTATTTCTAGGTCAAATATTTTTTTGCCGTTGCTCTTCAATATAATATTGAAATTAAATTCAAACTACAGTTAAAAACGGCCCTGCATTCTTTCTAATCGAACAACATCTAGATCATTCTGTCAGTTGAAGCATCGTATACTCCTCCTCATCGATTCAGCTGCTCTTTATCCTGTTGTCCAAGCAAAATGCACAACATACGACAGAATGCACACGCAAAATAAGCATCATTGCAACTGTCATGCACCTCATCCATTATGGACGACTCAGTCGAACAGAACATTAAATGTTCTTTCAGCGAAAAAGAAGCTTCATGGAAGCAAGAAGCTCTCATTGCTGCTACGCTGCTGCGGAAAGAGATCATGAAGTACAGGTACAGAACGACACTCAGCAATTTCAACATAGAGTAAGGGAGAAGCTGAGTTGCAGACATTTGCGTGACAAAACACATCGTGGTTCAAAGCTAGGCAACAGTCGTGCGTCATTTATTTAATGAACGAGAAGTTCGTCTGACGTCTAGCGGTCAGAAAACTCAGAATAAATAAAATTGTTAAAAATATGCAATAAGCCCAGGGCCTTGAACATTGCGCTTTTTTAAGCCATTAACAGAGAGTTCTCGTGTAATTAGAACGTCGAGTAATTAGCTTAAAACTTTCATAAACTGATGCAATATTAAAAGAGATTAAAAAGGAGTCACATATTGGCCAACTTATCATTTGTTATCCAGCGGGATAGCCTCAAAGGAAGGAAAATCTCCTGACCGCAATCATTGATAATGTTAGTTCATTTGGGATTGAAGATTCATCAAGTTTCATCCATGCACATCTCCTGAGGAAAAAGCTTATTTATTATTATTTCTAAAGAATGACAAATAAAAGAAAGGTCAGTAAGTCAGTTTGAACGACCGCCTATCCGTTCGAGCCACGGAGCCGACATGTCAGAGAGGGGGCGTCCAACATTCTGTGCCAGCGTTTCAGCCTTGACCGAAAATAAACTGATTTTGGAGCAGGGTCCTTCCAGACACTAGCCTGAGGCTACACTTGGCCGCCCCCATGCTGTTCATCTGATTCGCTCAGAAAAGAGTATCTTGCCTTACATGCACAAACAATCTCAGATGCCACTTCTCTACAAAGTTCTTTCAGAAAATGATACCGG